CTAAATTAACAAGTACCACTTACTCCAGACGGCAATGCCTTTAGCAGCTCCTAAAAACTTCAGAAAAGGATCTTAAAACAGGAAGCTTAGTGAACTCATAAAACCCGTTGTTGGAGCCAGGAACACATAGCATATTTAATCTGCAAACTGTGAGCGTCTCCCATGATTTGAGCGAGATCTGAGGCATGCCCTCAAGGTTTGCTGGGATCTGGGATTAGAGAGTTGATAAGAACCTCGACTGCCCATGGACATGTTTTTCTTCTGCAGTTAAACACAAATGCGGAGAGACATTTGACTGCTGCTTGGCGTTACTGCTCCCGCTATATGAAAGCTCGGCTGCTCCTTTTGCTGTCAATATATCAAAGTTTAAAAAAAAATCATCAAAGTGTGAAGTTTCATTTAAAGTCCTCCCCCGTCTACAGCTCTATTTCACAGGGCTAGCAAATAAGAGAAAAGATGAAAAATCAAGCTGAAAGAACTTGAAAAGTAAGTTTGCAGCGGGACCCAAGCTCGAGTTTGGTTTACTCTGTGCACCCTCCCCCCCACAAATACACTTTATTTCCTTCAAAAAAAATAGACAAACCAAGTCCCCCTGGGGAAGAGGACAGACAAGGGTAGGAGGGGGAGCAGCATCTTCTGACACCGCAGTAAACGGCCACCTCCACCTGGGCTCCGAGGGGGCTTTTTAAGAAAGGACTCTATTTCTCTAGTCATTTTAGCTTTTTAATTGTCTCACATGATCTAAGTTGGCAGAAAATTTCTCGAATCTTCCAAAACAAATCAGACTGACTCCGGAATAGGAATGCCAGCAAAAACTAAACCCTTCTTCAAAGTATTCTTTAGCTAGGGATTTACAACAATTGCAGTAAGAAGAAAAGTCTGACTTTTAAGATAATCTACTATAGTCTAAAAGCATTAACATTCCATTACGAAGGTTTTCCTGAGGATTTCACGACTCACTGAGTCACTCTTCCTTCGAGTCTGTTTTTTCTTAGTGCATTACTGTCTTCATACTGGCAACAGGCTCATTCAAGGGTTTCCTTTCATAACCTCCCCACCCCCAGCCTCCAAAAACTGTATCTGGGCTCAGTAAGCAGCCTACCTTATTTGGAGGAAAAATGCGAGCCCTGGGTCCAGCTCTTCACTACCTTCCTTTCTTCCTCACCTCCACTCTGGGGAAGAGGGGAAGCTTTGAGGGCAGCCAGGTAATCAGGCGGATTTTGCGGGGCCAGAAACAAAGGCTGCCTCCGATTTTGCAGCCTGCCGCTTCACAGCCCCCTCTTCTCTTATATGAGCTCTGGAATACCTCAAGGCAGCCACTTCAGCGGCCAGAATCCCTTCCTTCCCTCTGGGTCAAAGAGGCAGCAGGTGAAGGAACATAGACTATACCTCTGCCCTGACCATTCCAGAAACCCAGCTCTGCCCTTCAAGGTAAGGGGATCAGGCACCAGTAGGACCCGTTCTCATTAAAGCCAGCTTTTAACAATGCGATTCTACTAGTGTTCCCGCAGAGTTCTTTCGGGGAGACTGCAGTCCATACCAGGTGTTCACTGGGCTTGCTAGAGTATCCTAGAAGAGCTGCCCTATCCAAGCCCTGCAATGGAGTTTCGCTCAGGCCCATGGTCTCTACCTTAACACAAAAGCATAAACAAATTTGTTTCCTTCTGGACAGATAAGATCACCCCAAGTTGCTCATTAGTAGATGTTTGCTGGAGACCCCAGCAAAAACAAAAAAAGAAAAAAAGAAGAAAAAAAAAGGATGTGTGCGGCAGCTTGTTAAGACCAATATTTCCATCCATAAACAAAGTCTTCATATACTTCACACTGTTTACATTGTGAAAGTCATTCCCCATTCCTGGGCTGCAGCCCCTGCCCCAGAATATGGAAGCAGCTAGTCTGGGAGCATGGCTTGGATTTTCAGGGGATTTCTAGGACTCTACAACACAGCACTTTCCTCCTTCAAAATAATCTTGACAAGTGTAATTAAGAAACTGTCAGACTATTATTAATTTTTAATTTAGGACCTAAATGAAATAATTACAGAGATCAATCAGTAAGGCACCTATCCAAATTATAAAGCAATTACACAAATACTCAGAATTAATACTTTAGGCCAATTCTTGCAGATTTCAGTTAATAGTTCACTCAAACATGAAACAAACAAACATTAGCAAGAAGGGAATTGCTCTAGTTTCTTCCTTTGAAAGACTTAAGTTTAATCAGCTCAGATCACCAGCCCTCATCATGTTGAATTCAGTCAAGGGGGCACTCCTTTGAAAAACTAGACTATTTCCATTAGTCAGTTCTCTATCTCCGTGTTCTGACTAGCTCAATACCAAATTCCTCCAATAAATTGAGAAATTATACCTCCATTTCAAAATAACTATCATTGCGTTAAGCTTTGGAAAAGTGAATGTAGGTCCAAAGGAAGGAACTGGTATGGTGAGAGGAATAGACACACACACCCCCCACCCCCTAACTACTCAACTCAGGCTCCTGTGGAAGGGTGGATTGGGGTATCATACATACAAACTGGTGACAAAATGCCCAGCCAGACAAGTCAGGAGAATTGCTTAGGCCTCCCCTTTGGGTTGGCAATCAGACAGTCACTCTGTCACTGGGGACTCTAGTGGCAGCTGGAAAATGGGAAGAGTTAGCCATAATAAAGGAGGAAATGTTTTATGGAAATAAAGTTGCCCTCCCCCACTGGAAGAGGGCTACCAGTGCTGGCCCGCTCCCTCACTGTCCCATTCTTCCCACCTGCCTTGCACATGTCCAGTCGAACCCTATGGGTCATTGGCAATACACTGAGGGCAGAGCGAGGAGACAACAGAAGAAGGGGCTGCTGGCACCTTCCCACGTGGGCATGGCGGGCTTTCCTTCTTTCTGTTGGGCATCGTGCTAGAAGCAGAGACAATCTACGGGAGGGATCAAAGAAAAGGAAAGGTCCAGAGTAGGGAGAGCTTCTTCCCGCTGACTTGCTTGTCAAAGACCTGACTCTTACCCCCCCCCACCCGGGTTCCATTCAATTCCGTTGAGCAAACATTTATCTAGCACCTGTGCCGTGCCGGGCACTGTGCTGGGGAAAGCTGGCCTGTGGCAGCTGCTGACTCCCTTCTAACTTAAGCCTTCTACCTCCAGCGAGCATCTAAGCCTGATACCTGCCTGGACTGATTCATACCTAAAACTATTCCCCCACCCCTCCAAAGCTGGCCCCTAAAACAAGGAGGCGGCCTAGGAGCTCGGTCTCTCAGCTGGGCCAAGCTAATCCTACCAGTAATTTGCAGTCGGAAAACGCAGAGATGATCTCCCCTCACCTCCTGCACACACACACCCCCACCCACCCCCACACACACCAGCGGCGCGCTTTTGCTTGTCCCTTCCAAACTCTGCAAATGTGATCCGCTTCTTTAGCCCCGCGGAACCCAGACACCCCCCCACACCTTTTCCCCTTCCCCTCCACCCTCCGGTCCAGCGACCCTCTGCGGTGAGGTCTGGGCTGAGAGGCAGGCACACCCGGCCGTGTGCAGTAAATGGAGGGCCCAGAGATTTGGCCGAAGAGCAGGGCAGCCGGCAGCCCAGCGCTCGAGGGAAGTCCGTTTCCCTGAGCACCAAAGTTTCTACTTCGGCCTCAACCGGGCAGGACAGGCAGGCGGCCCGAGAAAGCTTGGCAGCTTGGCCCCAAGTAGGGCTGGAAGAACCGGTAGCAGCCAGAAGAGCCAGGTCGGCTCGGAGAGTCTTTAGGGCTGTAACGGGCCAGTACTGCGCGGGAGGGAAAGAAGGAGGGAGGAAGTAAAGGGGAGAAGGAGAAAGGGAGGAGGAGGAGGAGGAAGAGGAGAAGGGCGGCACACATCTCCCGGCTTTTGGCTTGCTTGCTAAGTTGCTTGGGGTCTTGGGACTGGAGGTTAGGAGGGCTCTTTTCACGGCCTTTGGCGCTTCCCAAAGGCGTCTCTAACTCCGCGGCAGAGTGCTCGAGCTGTGGCCCCGGGCCCCTCCTGACAGCCTAGGTAAGTCCTTCTGCCTGGCCGCCGCGAGCCACCCGGCAAGAGACAAAGGACTGAGGGTCCCTCACCCTCTCCCTACCTGGCAGCAGCCACTGTCAGGTCCCGCGAAGTTCCCCCACGCCCTGCTCGCGCCGCGCCCCGGCCGCCCTGGCTAGCTCTAAAGAGCCCAGGCGAGCCCCCTCAACACGGAACGGGCCGCGTTGCTCCGCTCCTCACGACCACGCATGGGGGTAGGAGGAGGCAGCACCAGGGTCTCGCGTGTGAGTAATTGGGTGAGTGTGAGTGACTGTGAGGGTGGTTGTGAGTGGGAGTGGGTGAGTGCGAGCGCCTGCCTGGGTGCTTCCCTAGGGTTGCCCTCCTGGCTCCGATGGAGCCCCCACCCCCCGCACCGAGTGTGTGTGTGCCCTCCCGCTCGCTTGCCCGCCGATCCCGGCACCACTCACTGTGATCTGGTAATCTGATCCCCCCTGACTCACCAGCACTGACTGACATTTCTGATTTGGTTCAACCGAGGCGGGGGCAGTGGCGGCAGCAGCAGCCCCAGGAGGAAAAAGAAGAAAAAGAAAGAAAGAGAGGGAGGGAGGGAGGGAGGAAGAAGGAAGGAAGGAAAGAAGGAAGGAAGGAAGGAAGGAAGGAAGGAAGGAAGGAAGGAAGGAAGGAAGGAAGGAAGGAAGGAAGGAAGGAAGGAGGAAAGAGAAAGAAAGAAAGAAAGAAAGAAAGAAAGAAAGAAAGAAAGAAAGAAAGAAAGGAAGGAAAAGAAAAAAGAAAGAAGAAAGAAAAAAGAAAAAAAAAGAAAGGAAGAGAAGAAAGAGAAAGAAGAAAAAGAAAAAGAAAGAAAGAAAGAAAGAAAGAAAGAAAGAAAGAAAGAAAGAAAGAAAGAAAGAAAGAAAGAAAGAAAGAAAGAAAGAAAGAAAGAAAGAAAGAAAGAAAGAAAGAAAGAAAACCGAAAATCCACGGTCCCCATCCCCCGGCTCTGGTACCGCGCAGCCCACTGACCTTTCCGAGGGGCTCCAGCCGCAGGGCGGGCAGCACAGCTCGGCCGGCCTCCGGCCTCTGCCTCAGCTCGAGAAAGCACTTGCTGTAGCTCCGCCAGAGCCTCACATGTTGGAAAAGTTGTCCCTCGGCCCCCTTTCCCCTCCTCCCGCCCCCTCTCCCCCTCCTTCTCTCTCCCTCCTTCTCTTTCTCTTTCTCCCCCACCTCCTTCTCCTTCCCGCCCCCTTTCCCCGCCGCCTCCAAGTTTTCCCCGATGGGGCCGTCCCGGTTTCCCGAGTGCCCGCCCTCTCCTTTTCTCCTCCCTGTCCCCCCGGGGTGCTCCCCGCGGCCCTGGGACAGAGGGTGGCGGGCCGAGGAGGGATGGGGGGCGGGGAAGGGGGGAACCAACCTGAGCGGATGAACCGACGAGCCAATGGGGAACTCCAGGAGCCTGCCTCGGCCCGGCCCGGGGGGAGGGGCGAGGGAGCCCGGGGGAGAGGGCCGCCGGCCCGCCCCGGGAAACTTCAGGATCGGGGCTCCGCACTTTTGCGCTCGCTCTCTCTCTCTCTCTCTCTCTCTCTCTCTCTCTCTCTCTCTCTCTCTCTCTCTCTCTCTCTCTTTCTCTCTCTCTCCCTCTCTCTCTCTCTCTCTCTCTCTCTCTCTCTCTCTCTCTCTCTCTCTCTCTTTGTGTGCGTGTGTGTGTGTGTGTGTGTGTGTGTGTGTGTGTTTCTGTCTGTGTGTCTTTCTCCTTCCCTCCTAGCTGCTCCGGGAGGAGGTGGCTGCCTTCTCCTTCCTCCTCCTCTCCTCTGGATCGGTCGGGGTGCTCGGAGTTGGTGCTTCAGTTGCAGAGAGATGCAGGCGCCGAGGAGGAGGGGGGGGGGGTTGCAGGGGGGGAAAGGGGGAGGGGACCAGGACGGGGCGGGCCCTTGGCCGGGCCCGCGAACGTTCCTCCTAACGCTGCTCTGGGAGCCACTCTGCAGCCTCTGCCGGGGGTGGGGGCGGAGGGGTGAGGAGCACTGTGGGGAGCCCGAGCCACGCGCCGTCACTCCTAGCCCTCCCTCCAATCCTGCCCTCCTCTGCCCTCCCCTCACCTCCTCACAGACACAGATTCAGACCGGCCCCTCCTCTCCGCCCCCCCCTTCTCCCTTTCCCCCTTCTCCTCTTCTCTCTCCTCCTTGCGGGGCCTCATTGAGGCCCCACCCACCCAGGGGAGGAGAAAGGCAGCAGGGGCGTGATGTCAGGGACTGCCACCTCCAACACCGCCCCCCCCATCCTACCCAGAGCAACTGTGTCCCAGCTTTGCAGCTTCCCTCCTTCCTGTGTCCATTTCCTCCTCCCCGGCTCTCTGTTTTCCTGTCCACCCCTGTAGAGTTCACTTCCCTCCAGTATGGGCTCCCTTCTCTCCTTTTATAGCCTCACTGATTTCTTGGGCTTTCCTGTCTCTCTCCCTGTTCTCCTTAGGCATCTTCTTCCATCAGTCCAGAACCTCCCTCTCTTCAAGTAATTAACGATCTCTCAGCAATCCGTGCTTCACAGAGCTGCCAAGTTGATGCTGCTAAAGCGCAGGCAGGTCTGACCATGTCATTCCCCTGATCACAAAGCTCCAGGGGCTCCCTCTTACCTCTAGGTTCATATCCAAACTATTAGTTTAAATACAAAGTGCTCTTAGTCTCAAAGGCATTTATAAACCAGGTCTGACTTTTCTTTCTAGACTGATTGCAGGAGACTCAGCCTCCTGCTTTAGAGCCAACCTGGCCTCCGTGGCGTTCCCCTTCAAGGACACCTCACCCCCAATTCCCGTGCCTTGGAACAGACGGCACTGCACCCCAAGCCTGAAATGTTCTTCCTCTTGGAATCTGTGGCTTCCTTCAAAGCTCAGCTGCTGTAGGCCTCCTGTGCAAAGGCTTCCTTAACTCTTCCCCCAAGTGGTGCTAGAAAATTACTTTGTCTTGACTTCTCTCTGTGCATTTTTTATTTCTCCAGTAGATTATAATCTTCCTGAGGTCAGAAACAATTTCGTTTTTTTCTTCCTCTTCCATTATCCACCACTTAACTGGTCCTTCCCTAATAAATGGCTTTTTTGAAGCATTGGATGGTCCAGGGTCACACAACTAGCCAACTGTAGGAGAGGAAGTGAAACCCTGGTCTTCTGAAGTCCCCAGGTTGTCTCCATTCTGGGGTCCCAGGGATTGGAGCCCTTACTGCATCCTAGTGCGTTCATTTGCAAATACCCTTCTCTGATAAGCAGACTCATTTACCTTCAGCTGTCTTCTCAGTAAAGTCATTTTCCTCCTTCCCCTCTTCTATCCACCTACATCCACTCTTATCTACCAATCCCTGGCTGGTAGGAAAAAAGACATTTTCCTTGAAGAAAAGCATTATTATTTTTTTTTTGAAGAGAGTTTCACCAGAGGTAATGGATCCTAGGACACTCAGAATCTTTTCTTAGCCTCAAGTCCCAGTCCCAGTCAGCATAAGGGAGAATCCTTCTCCAATCACCACTCAAAGATTCTATCAGGCTGATTTGCTTATCCAAGGAAAGTGGAGGTGTGACTAGCTATTATTATTTTAATAGCATTTCTAGATCCAAGCAGTTCATTGGAGGCTAATTTTTTTTTTCTGAAAAAATTATGGGAGAACCATGTTTCACTTCCTGGGCCATGCCACTTTCCACAAAGATCTGAGTCCAGAAGAGACTGATTGAATCAGTCAGTCCAAACAATTGGAGCAAATGGAGAGCAGAGACCAAGATGCTCTTCTTAATCCTTTCTCTTCCTCTCCCCTTACAAATACTCACCATTTTCCCCTACCTGGTTATCACTGTCACTGAACAAATGTCCATCCATCTTTTCCCACATCTAGTCACATTTTTTTCCCCCCTCATTAAAGCATATGACTCTGCCACAATCTCCCACATGTGAATTACAAATCCAGATTCTGGCCTGTACTCTTGATTGGGATGGAATGGGGGGGGGGGTAAGGGGAGCCATAGTTAATAACTTATCAGGTAAGCTAGATCAGTGTGCTTAACTCAAGCTTCATTCCAGAGAAAACAGCTGGTGGCTGTTTAAACACAAAGATTTGATTCTACCAGTTCAAAGGCAAGAACAAAGGATGGACAGAGAACTTTTCCACCTATGACCATGAAGACAGGGTGGGATTAGGCTCAAAGCAGTAGAGTACGAAGGGCTGACTCTGACCTTTGGAACTGTGGTAGTATTTTCACACCTTTGCACTTAGTAGAGACTCACTACAACTGCAATAAAAACCTTCCCAGTATCTATATCTCTCAGGAATGTATATAGCAGCTACACACACACACAGGAAAACACACGCACACCACATAGCTGAAGTGTCACAAAACCAATATATATGTACATATATTATATACCTATACATATGCATACATGTATTATACTTGAAAGGGTAGTATAGTGGATAGAGCTGACTTCAGAATCAGGAACTCCTGTTTTGAACACATTCAAGCTGCCAAACCATCAACAAGTTATTGAACGTCTCTAGGACTATACATTGCTGAGTGGGTACCAATTTGTATCGGTGGAGGGAATGTCCTTACTGGGAGTACTTTGATATGTATATGTGTTTCTATAACCTAAGACCCAGAACTTCCATGACCTCGGACTCAGGCTGCATTTGACCTTGGAAGCTGATGGTGAGATGATCATTTTAAGTTCACAAAAATCCCATGAACTGATACCTTCTGAACATCAAAATTGACAAAATCCATCAGCTCCCCTCTGAAGGAAACTGAACTGTGGCCAAAGAAGTAGCAAATCTTTCACATCTGGTGTGTCCTTCACCCTTCCATGGAGTACTGAGGAGTCTCTCCCAGACCCAAAATGTTACTCCATGTTTGGAATCTCCCACAAAAGGCAAAGCTATTCTATGGCTATTGATCCAACAGTTCTCTTCTCATTAGACAGGTTTGCACTGCCTGAAGACCTTCCTGGTTTTGTTCCCCAAGGAGGATGGGATTCTGGAACTGCCAATGATCCTCTCCTTTTCCCAAACAGCAGAATCCAAAAACTGCCATTTTCTGTCTGGAATCTGGAAGGCTTGATCCCCAAACTCTTGAATCTGGAAATTTTAGAATGTGTGGTTACTCATGAAGTAACCCCCAAGGCAAGAGTTCCCTCTTGAACCAAATTAGAATGCCAATGTCTCCACATTATTCTGCAGGAAGTTGAATTACTAGCCTGGCTCTTGCCATCTTTGGGGGCTAGGAAAGTCTACTTTCAAGATTGCTTCTCTGAGATGGCCTGAAACTGTATGCCATATGCTAGTGCCCATGCGCCAATCCTGACCTGGTAGTGCATTTTCATAGACTACAGAGAAGGAGAGTTAAAACCTCTGACTAGGCTCTGTCATGCTCAATAAATCATCTCTGAGGTAGTCCCAGTCCTTGAGAACCAAGCAGGAACTCTGTACCCTTCAGAAAGGTGCCAATGAGCCTATCCTCACTTTCCAGGGAGAGAGAAGTTCCTAAAAGGCCTCTAAACAAAGCCTCAGGCGATATAGTTTCATCAAGGTGAATGGGAGATTCATCTTCATCATAGACTCACCTTTGACCTCATACATGTACACATAAGGGCACTGACGTATACATACTCAGATAGGACACTGGGGCAGATTTTACTGAGATCCCCACTGCCACAAAGCATAAATTTTTTATAGTTTACTTTACCTTACTAGAATGAGAGAATTAATCCTGAATCCCAAACCACAAACTAGTGCATCTGATCAGTGACAGTAAATATTGTTTAAATGTTTTAGCTGAAGGAGGAAACAGATTTTATCATTTGACTACTTAGAGGTATGTACTTCATTGGCTCCATGATCTCCTCAATGCAGGTTGTGCCTTTTTTTGGCATCAATGGCGCCCCAGCCCTGTCTCCTCACCCAGGAGAACACTTGTCCATATTCTCTTAGACATCCTCTGCAACGCATTTAACACATACTGAGGGTCTTCTCAAACCACCTCCCTTCCTGATCATACGTACTCTAGAGAGTGTGTCTTATTTCATTTCTTGCGTGCAAATCATCAGGGATCGTACAATTTTGATGATTTCTACTCAGTACACAGATACACAAGCACACACACAAAATGTATCTGCTCATATGCATCCAGTTA